AACCTACAAAAAAGTTACAGAAGAATATCCATAAAAGGTTGTAGATTATACCCTGTATTTCTTTCTACTCAATGAGGAAATAGTGATTATGTTTATAAATAATTATATTTGCCTATCTGAAATTTGAGAATCGGGTAAAAAAATAAAATGGTTAGGATGTGGTTAATCACATAAGATATTTTTTTTACTTATGTGCGAAAATAAAGATTTTCTCACGGCTTAGTCAATATGAAAGTGACGTAATTCCTATACATATAGAAATAAAAAATCCTCACGTTTAGACGTGAAAATGAAAATGTTAAATTTACAAGTTTTTTTATTAATCTGTTAATTCATAAACCTAAATTAATTTTCATGTTCATGTAACATTTCTTTGTGAAAAAATATTTGAAAAACAGAAATGAGGCTATTGAATGCAACAATAAAGAACGCGCTCTTTGAAAAGAAAAATTAACGAAAAATGAGTTGCTAGGGAAGCTACTAAAACAGTTAAAAATGTATATTGTAACAGTTTATTTAGAATTGAATTTGAAAGTAAAGTTATAAATGAATAATCGCTTTTCCTACCCGAAATGAAATATATTTCCTTTCACAAAAAAATGGTAGGTATTATTTCTCGTTGTAAAATATAAAATTATATTTAACGCTTCAATGTCACACAAAGGCTTTGTAGAGATCAAAATTGTAGTTTATCTCGCAAAATATTATCAATAAAAGAATATTTCCCCGAATATTTCACATCTGTCTGTAAACTATGTTAACTATGAATGAAAGACTTATAAACTCGCGTTAAAGTTTAGAAAGTAAGCAATATTTTTCGCAGTGTACGAAACAAATTAAAACAGTTTTAGTCAACAATATGTCAGGCGACGTTTCTGACAGGCTGGAACAGAATCAGACCAGATCATGAAAAATTACACGGGGCACATGCGAAGACAGTCGTATCTCGTAACGTCGCCACTGCCTTTTACATAATAGCCGCAAACGAGCGTTTTGTTTCACTGCTTGTTCACTACCATTCCATAGCCTACTACAGATATTCGGTTGCATTAGCAATTGTTACGTGGTACATTACATAAAATATACATAAGATTTATTTCGTTAACATATAACATGCTAATACAAAGTGGTATATAACGCGAGGATACTTACATCTGGCTTGGTATGGCTTCGTTGCGCAACTAACGACTTAAATTTCTTTTTTATTTGCACCATATTTTACTCCGGCTTGTTCAAAGTAGGATTCACGAAAATTTTGAGTCGATTTGATGGGCAGATTTCTTTTTTCAGAGTTCAAGAGGAAAGGACAAAATGTTTTACAAAGGAAAAATTTGATACATATAATTTTTGGAAACGATATAAAAAAATAATACCCCTTGGTGTGGTCTCGACCATAACACAGTTAAGAAATATGAATCTACAGTTTATCTACAGAGAACGGTATTTTGCATCGTGATGACATTGTTCATTGATGATATAAACATAAAACTCTATAGAAAAATCCTTAGAGACTTATCATCCCACTATCATCCTTCAAAACTTAACGCCGTTATACAGGGTGATTCAAAAATTAAGATGAAAAGTCTTAATAAACATAGGGTAGCAAATGCCTCCTTAACGAGATACAGGGCGTTAAAGTTTCTGTAAAATTAAACATTGTCTGCAATAATTCCAAAATGCCTGAACATTTCTATTTCAAATTTGCTGTGAGTAGGTAGTTAGCACCTTAAAACCAATGTTTGATGTACTGCTCAAAATTTTATGAGCAGCAGTGTCGTAGAGACGGGGTCAACGTGACCCTTTTTTAAAAATTTTTTTTACGCCACTGCTAATTTTGTTAAACGGGCACTATTTTCGTGTAAAGTGTTCAATTGTCTATCGAATTGGTCTCTTGTAAAATTTTGATTAAAACTACAGTTTTTGACTAATTTAGGTTTCAACTGATTTTGTCAGAATGAAATAACGTAAACAATAAACAACAAATTTAAGCGTGAAAACGTAATGATAAAAATTGTATAACTGGAAACAATGTAAAATATCAGAGTAGGTGCTGGAAGTGACCACCTTGTGATGCGACACACGTTTCTACCTTCCGAGCTAAGGATCTTCTTATTCTTTCAAAAATCCCGGCCGTATTACGAATTGTTTGAAAGGCTTGTTGAATTCGTTGCCATAATTCATCAATCGAGTTACGTAAATCAGCTCTTTAACATGACCCTAAGTGTGGAAATCCAGAGGATTTAAGTCCGATGAACGGGCGGGCAACTGGATTGGACCACCACGTCCAATCCACCGTCTAGGGTATGTCATATTTAAATAATCTCTTACCTGTCGAGCGAAATGCGCCGGAGCGCCGTCATGATGGAACCAAAGGCTCCTCCGCATATCCATGACCAATGAGCGTGTCGCCAATAATGCCAGCATGAACCTTAATTGAAAACTCATTCTGAAAATTTGTTATTCGAATGACGTTAGGATTTTCGTTGCTCCATAAATGATTATTGTGGAAGTTAATTATTGCTCGTCTCGTAAACGATGCTTCATCTGCGAATAAGATATTCGCGGAAAAATTGGGATTCTCTGCAATCCTGCCAAGCAGCCATCGTGACCACTCTAGTCTTGGTGGTAGTAATCTTGAGGTAGTAAATGTTGAACACGTTGAAAGTGATAAGGGTACAATTGTTGTTCGCGAAGTATTCTCCAAACAGATGACCGTGATATGTTTAAATTTCTAGAAATTTGTCGGGTACTTAACATATTATTTTCTATTGCTGTCAGACCATTTCCTCAGATTCCGGAGTTCTAGCACAACGCCGTCGTTCAGAATTAATTTTTGTTGTTTTTAATTTACCCGTTTCTCTTAATCTTCTATCGATATTATCAACAATTTGCCGATTTGGTGTTCTTCGCGCAGGAAACATTTCTCTATATCGCCTAACTGCATCACGGGAAACAAAAATCGCTAGCCCATAACATAGATGCATATCTGTCATTTCTTCAAATGAATATTCGTAATTCATACTGTTATTGAAAATAGTGAAGTAGCTGAAGTAATTTAAATAACCGTAAAAATGACAAAAAGAAGCTTATAAGTTAGTTTACTTAACTCACTTGTACACTTATTATTGACATTAGTGACAGCCGATGTTTAATTTTATTTTGAACAGCACAAGCCTACGATACGGAACTAAAATGAATGAAAATAAAATTGGATTCACAAATTTTCTACAAACGTGTTTCTCTTAAAAATGGTTGCTTTAATCAAAATTTTGCAAGAGACCAATTCGATAGACAATTAAACACTTTACACGAAAATAGTGCCCGTTTGACAAAATTAGTAGTGGCATAGAAAATATTTTTAAAAAAGAGTCACGTTGACCCCGTCTCTACGACACTGCTGTTCATGAAATTTTGAGCAGTACATAAAACATTGGTCTTAAGGTGCTAACTACGCATAACAAATTTGAAATAGAAATGTTCAGGCATTTTGGAATTATTGCAGACAATGTTTAATTTTACAGAAACATTGACGCCCTGTATCTCGTTAAGGAGGCATTTGCAACCCTATGTTTAAGACTAGGTTTAAGAAAATTAAGACTTTTCGTCTAAATTTTTCATGTATTACCTACCCTAGAAGTGTGTCAGCGGTTTTTTTAATCACCCTGTATAATACTTTTAGTGGGTGTGTGGACCACATTTTTAAACAAAAAATGTTTAAAAGATATAAAACGAATATACTTTCCTAAAGGATTTTGGGGCGCTGAATTCGAATCCGATGTATACATTTTTTAATTGGCTTTGGTTTTCGAGTTATCCTAACCACCTAAAAATGACAAAATAGCGATATTTTTACATATTTAAGGTTATGGAAAGGTAATTTTTTGCTGAAACCATTAATAGTAGTTTGACTTATTTCTCAATTTTTAGAGTTTATGGATTTGGAGTTTATGGGCTTGTAAAAAGATTTCGCTACAAAAGAAGAAAAGCGTAAGAGCAACATCAAAGAAAGGCTGGTTCGCGTCAGTCGAATTTATTTGGAAGTAATTCGTATCCATGACATTTATTCAAGATTTGTTGGGACTCACGACCTTTATTTTTTTTGCGATATTTTGCTATTTTTGCTAAATTTTTGGGTAATTAGGATTCAACAGATTTTACGATTCGAATTCGATTCGACAAAATTTATGAGAACACTTGATCCAATCTAGAAAACCGTTTTCTAAATTTTCTCATTCTCATTAATATGATTTTTTGCCAGTTTCAACTATTTTTTTGAGACTTTTGCAAAATCTGTGATGGGATACAACTAATAAATTTGAGACTCGAATTGAGTGTATTAAGAAACCCACTTGATCAAGTTCAGAACAAATTTTTCGATTTTTTTGGAGTTGTCTGAGCTAAACGGACTTCAGATTCGTTTTCAAATCAAAGGTACAGACCACTTTTTTTTGTGCCAGTGTTATTATCAGTTGTGATATCATATGCATTTCGATACAAAAATCAAAACATACCCAGTATATCTCCGATAAAAAAAAATGCTAAACCATTATGTATTAACTAGGTTTTCCCAGTGAAACTTGTGTAAACAATCTAAATTATTACATATTTCCTGACAACAGTACGGCACAGATGTGACTTGTTAAGTAATTAATTTAAACTTACGTATGTGTACCTAGGTATATCTTGTTGATTCTTGGAAGCTCTATCTCCCTCTCAATTGAGATTTGACAATTCAGTAATGAGAAGCGGAGGATACTACTTACTTGACATTTAATTGATGTGATAATATACATACACACAAAATTTGTAAATAAAATGAGTACAAAGATAGTTATTACATTACGTAAGTGGGTTCATGATAAATAAACTTGAATTTTAATTTGAAATATGAATTATGTAACATGTAAACAACGTCTTTAAGACTTCGTAATTGAATAACTAAAACTTTTGTGTGTATGATTAACGTATTGATGTGTTTTATATCGTTTCATTACACTTACCAATATCGGAATTGCATTTGTTTCTTTCTCTCCACTTCTCCAGAAGGTCCTGGACCAACACATTGACGCATCTGTTTTGGTACGTTAAATCCATGGCACAAACAACACATCGGCTACAGTTATTTAAGGAGGACGTTAAACAATCACTGCAAAACGTATGTCCACATTCAACGGTCACAGGTCCCTTGAGAACATTCCTGCACATGGGGCAGCTGAAAAGCAGGATCTTGTGGTCCATGGCGTGGAAAAAAGCGCTCTCGAACTGCCTCAACCTGAGATTGGGCTGCCTCCTGAACCGCCTGATCCTCTTGATCCTCTCGGTGTCTCTACGCAATATCCTCCCTTCGCACTTGAGCCTCGAAGTCGAGTAAGTCGTGAGGGAGGTGAGTAAGTCCGGGTACTTTTTCAAAAAGTAATTGGCATTTTTGTCCGACCGGGTGGTAGCAGGTTGTCCGAGGTCACTCACGCCGTATCGCTGCATTGTTGTGTAACAGCTAGTCCATGTTAGATAGCACGTGTGGTGCTAAGTCCGCCGGTAAATATCGATTTTTAACCACCACTTGCGCAATAAAATTGAGACTGCAATGTGCCCGGCTCTGCTTTGCTCAAAAAACGACGGGTGTGATTCACCTATTTACCCACTTATTTAAACTGATCCACTAAAGTATTGTTACACAACAACACGTCTACGTACCCCGGATTACTGCCACTTCCGATCGTGAAACTGTGCTTACCCGAACGGCTTTTCCTCAAACGGCGTTTGTGCGTCGTCTAAATTTGGGTGTTATGTAAACGACGTTACGTTGTCGCACATGTAACAACCTCGCTTGGACCGTCAAAGTACACTCTCACCCGCTCCTCCTTGTCAACTGATTGACTGGCTGCGAACAACGCGAGCCACGACGACGACGCGAGCACGAAGTTCGCTGATTTCGGTGGGGCGAGCGCAGTTGTAAATGAGCCGCGGATTCATAATTGACAATAATAATTAGTTTTTGGACAATCAGTTTTTATTTTACATGCAGTGTGTCCCATCAAGAACCAGGATATCCCCCAATTTTTTTTTGTCATGATTTGAATCTTTTTTTTATACAAGGTGTTTCAAAGAGGCCTCCCGTAAATAATAAGAATTTTTTGTCTTGTTTTCGAGATACAGAGTAACAAAATAAAATTTTTTAAATAGAATTTTTACGAAAATTTCCGAGCGGTGCGGAATATTTTTATGAAATTTGGTAATCCTGGATTTTTAGGGATGCCAAATACGCTGGTCTAATTATTTTTTGTATATTAAATACAGGGACCTAGTTATGCTACATTCGTATTACATTTTAAGCTCCAATTTTTTTTGAGGTTAGGTTTTTTACCAATCGGGCTCCAATTTCTAATGTACAATTTTATTTTCTAAAAATAATGTACTCTTGTTAGAACTTCCTATGTGGACGGTTTTCGAGAAAAAAGGATTTTAATTGAACTCTTACAATATTACGGTGTATAAAATTAGTGACTTTTCTCAAAGTAGGCTTATGTCAAAATTTATTGATGGATGTCTCATAGACACCGTAATATTTAAATATTAGTAATATTTTAAACTCTAATTAACTTTATATAAAAATTTTAGTTTAGTCATTACTAACTATACAGTTACTAACAATTACTAAAATTTTGATATAAGGTTAATTAGAGTTTAAAATATTACTAAGAATATACGCGTTATTTATGAGACATCCATCAATAAGTTTTGACATAAGCCTACTTTGAGAAAAGTTACTTATTTTATACACCGTAATATTGTAACAGTTTAATTAAAAGCCTCTTTTCTCGAAAACCGTCCACATTAGGAAGTACTAACAAAAGTACAAGAGTAGATACATTATCTTTAGAAAATATAATTGTACATTAGAAATTGGAGCCCGAATGGTAAAAAACTTAATCTTAGCGAAATTTGAACTTAAAATGTAATGGGAATGTAGCATAACTAGCGCCCTCAACGAAATATCCAAAAAATAATTAGACCAGCGTATTTGGCATCCTTAAAAACCCCGGAATACCAAATTTCATAAAAATATTTCGCACCGTTTGGAAATTTTCGTACTCTATTTAAAAAATTTTATTTTGTCTCTCTGTATCTCGAAAACAAGAGGAGATAAAAATACAGTTCATGAGATAAAAAAAATATTTTTTGTCATACTATCACCCCCTTAATTTACGGGAGGTCTTTCTGAAACACCCTGTATATTATGAGAAAGCTCATTCCAACACTTACTTTGTCCACGTTAGCTTTACAAGCTTTAAAAATCTATTAATACGGTATGGAATATTGTATGTAGATAATCAGGGTGTATCATGAAGAGGGCCCAGTAGGATCTCAAAAAGTAGTCAAAATCTGAAAATTTGTATACAGGGGCTTATCAAAGAGATCTATTCAACTCTCTTAATTCAAATGGAACACTGTATATTTTTGCATTTTTTAATTCTACGATAAAATCTAGACTAATTTCATATAAGGTACTATAGGCCAAAATGTGAAAGTTTTCAAGTTGTCAATTTTCGAAAAAAAATTGAGGGATGCCAGTGATTTTTGAAAACAGAATAACTCCGACATTTAACTTTCATTTATTAACGAAATTTGGCGTAGATAATTTAAAAGCAATGAAATTCAACCAGTTTATGTCAAATTTGCAAAAATTCATACAGAGTGTTTAAGAACGTGTGACCAATGTTGTGACGTCAAAGTTGAATTTACTCAAATATTTCAAACGGTACACACTGTATATTATTACATTAATGGATGCAGAATTAATTTTACTTTAAAATAATACTATAGTTCCCTATACCCAAAGTTCACAGTTCTTGTGTAAATTGGAAATTATTGATCTCAACACAGAAAAATGTACGGTGGATTTGATGCATTAAAGAATTGAATAATAAACGGTGTGACTGATTAATGAACAGTAATTTTTATTATTGTTATTTCATCAAAAACAATAATAACTCAGTATATTAAATTAAAAAGGGCGATGCTTTAAATAAACCCACCACACTTGTACATTTTTCTGTGTTGACATCAATAATTTCCAATTTACACAAGAACTGTCAACTTTGGGTATAGGGAACTATAGTATTATTTTAAAGTAAAATTAATTCTGCATCCATTAATGTAATAATATACAGGGTGAACCATTTAAAATTCTTGAGTAAATTCAACTTCAACGTCACAATATTAGCCACACGTGTTTAAACACTGTATGATTTTTTGCAAATTTCGCACAAATTGGTTGAATTCCATTGCTTTTAAATTATCCATGCCAAATTTCATTAATAAATCAATCTAAATGTCGGAGTTTTTCTATTTTCAAAAATCACAGGTACATCTCTCAATTTTTTTCGAAAATTGATGATAACTTGAAAACTGTCACATTTTGGCCTATAGTACTTTATATGGAATTAGTCTAGAATTTGCCATAGAATTAAAAAATGTGAAAATATATAGTGTTCCATTTGAAATAACAAAGTTGATGATGACTTCCGGGACTTTATTCTTGAATTATAGGGAGTAGAAGGAACGAGAGAAAGGGGGCGTGTCTCTACTAAAACTCATTAATTCGTATTCTTGAATAGTGTTCTATTGAGTAATGATAGAAGAATTGTTCCCTATTTCTTCTACTGATTTTTTCGGGGGCACAGGCAGGGACCATTAAACCTAACACTATATTTTTTTACATGTTTCACAAATTACGAATTCCGCAAACTGTCTGTAATATCTCTAGTTATTCTTTTGTTGTGATGTCCTTCGAGAAATTTGAGTAAACGTTCGTATAATTTGTGTTTACTTGAAGGATTGTACAGTACACGAATAATATAATAATAGAATAAAATCAATCTTCCTAACATAGTATTAAAATATTTGTTTTTCCGAATTAGGCCCCATTTTCTCTTTAGTGCAGGTGGGTGTTAACTTCCCAGTATATATTTGTATTTTTACCCTCAATATATTCTATTAGAAGTTCTTTTTGTTTAGAACTTACTGGATTTAGTTTCGGTTTTTTATTAATTCCCATTTTCTTTCCTTTTTAGATTGCATCTGACACTGACAAACAAATAACAATAACTCTAAATAAAGTAGCAGTTAATTCATGACCAGCCCATCACTAGTCTTCATTCTACCGCCTATTTGCTGCTTTCTGATTGGTCGGTACATTTGACAACATTATTCCTCGTTCCTCACTTTCATGGCTAGATCCCTTTGTGTCGAGAATACACAGTATAAATTTTGTGATAGAACAGTAGTAGAGCGAAATGAGGGAAAGCATTCTATTCTCTCACCGTCAAGAATCGAGCTCCCGGTATAACCGGAAGTGCGAGAAAGTTGACACTATTGTCATTGAATAGATCTTTTTGATAAACCCCTGTATACAAATTTTCAGATTTCAATTCTTACTACTTTTTGACATAATCCTACTACGCCCTCTTCGTGATACATCCTGTATACAGGGTGCCCGCAACGTTTGACTGCATATTCACGACGATAAATAAATACGATCTACGAAAAAAAATTAAGTTAGCAGACAGTAAGATTTTATACACTCTTATTTTGAAAATATGTACGGTTCTAACATAGTAATTATATCCAACTAAAAATTAAAAACAAAAAATGGTGGAGTGGCCGCTCGATGAACCAAGTATTATCGTTGGCAAATTCTTCAGGGAAATTATTTTTTATACAGGCAAATTGCGATCGTCATCTATGCAAAAATTCTGGGTTGTTAACCATTGGGCATAGACCGGCCCGGCGTTCTGGGCATAATGAAGTTTCACTTACAACATCAAAAACAAGCGTATATGTGCTATTGATCACCAAATTTGCATCACGCTGAAGTTAATAGTTTAGATTGTAAATAAAAATAACTTTTTAATTTCCACCTTGGAAGGCTTATAAAACTTATAAAAGAAGGCCTGTATGAAAAAAAAAATTATATGAAGAACTGATATTATTTTGACCTCATCTATTTGTACTCGACTTTTTTGTATCGAGTACCGGGACACCCTGTATACTTTTTTAGAAAACCGTCATCAAAAGCCGACTTATTTATTAAATTTTCAGTTGACAAACTAAGCCTTTTTTGTCACCTAGCTGCAAAAAACTACTACAACACCAAAGTCTTTTTCGTTCTAGAACGTAAAACAAATGTTAAAATAATTTGTTATTTTTTCGTAACTTATTTATAATTTTATTAATTAAACAATATACATTTTAAGTAACATAACATTTCAATACAAAACAGTAACTATTATAAATAGGACGATTACAATTTATTTTCCACTACATGGAAATTGAAAGTGCCAATATTGCAGTGAGTTAAATTTATGCCAGATACAGTGCTGTCAGTTACCGTAGTTTTTAATTATGGGTGTTCAATAAGGCTGCTGCTGTAATTGTTTAAGTTTACTCCGAACGTTGTGTTATTGGCAACAGTGGCGTACGATATAATAAAATATATATTAATGAATAACGGTATGTTATATTAATTTCAAATATTTCAAAATAAAATCTATGCGTCTTGGCTTGACAGCAAGATCGTCAATTATGTCATCAGTTGTCACAATTTGTTGTCTATGAATTGACATAATGGCAAGTCCATTAAGCCTCACTTGAGCGGTCGTATTTCTCAAATAGGTTTTAATAATAATAATAGGTAATAATTTTAATTATCTTTAAGCTTGAGAAGATTCGTTCTGGTGTCGCAGTGGACACTGGCAACGTACAAAAATGTTGTTGACACATTTTAATTTCAGATTTTATTTGAATTTTAGGGATTTCAGGTAGATATAAATCAAGTAGTTTATCATAT